CTGCTGATGTTCCTCCCACTCTCTGATCAGGGTCAGTGTGTCCCATGGGTGTGGGGATAGGGGCTTGGAAAGAGCCGGATGTACCTGAGCCCTGCTCCCAAGCATGATGTCAGGCCTCAGTTTCCACATCTATAAAATGGGAACAATCATCCCACAAAGCTGCCTCCTGCAGCTTTGATGTAAAGTACTTGAAAGCACTTGGCTTCATTAATTAGGTACTGGAATAATAATATAAGGCATTCCCATTCTCATCAAAAGCTTATTTTAAGCTTAAACGAGTTAGTGCATAGAAAGCGCTGAGAACAGGGCAGGCTCTTGATAAACCTTAGCTGTGACTACGTCACAAGAGCACACAGCAGTCTGGTGCAGCGGGGAGACTGGGACAAGTCAGCAGGGGCACGGCACCTCAGCACCTCGGCAGGAGCGGGTGCTGCGGGAGGATGGTTACCCTCAGAGGGGCGTCCAGGCATGTGGGGGTGGGGTGGCAGGCTCCCACCTGGTAATCGGGCTTGGTGAAGTAGTCGAGGCTGGCGATGTGGTCCAGGAAGAGGTGGAACTCCGAGGGCATGTGCTTCAGCAGCATCCGGTGCTCATACTTCTCCTTGATCATCCCCACCTGCTCCTGGAGGCAAGAGGGCAGGGGAGATGGAGCCACAGCGGCCCCCACGCCCCCGCTGCCCCCTCAGACCCAGCTGCATGGGGCTCACCTTGTCCTTGATCTTCCTCCAGGGCAGCTGGCCCACTGCAAACTCCACCAGCATGTAGAAGAGGGACCACAGGTCATCGTGGCGGCCCATCTCCTGGGGGCGGGGTTGAGGGAGTCACCTGCAGCTCTCAGGCCCTTCCCTGGGAATGGGCAGCTAACCAACCCTTCTCTGAGGGGCATCTGTCAGGGAGGCCTGACACCCAGGCCCCTGTACCAGAGCTGGGGTCTCCCCGAGGCCCCAGTTCTATCCCCGACCCCCCAGTACAACAGAATCCCACAGTCAAAACTTCTTTCTATGCTTCTTGCCCCACAGTGATTTGTAGTGGGAACAGAGAATGTGGTCCCAGGAAGAAAGGAAGAAGGTGAATCCAAGGAGGCCGACAGTGGGGCCTTCTTCCAACCTAGGGTCTCATTGTCCTCTCCCCTGCTTGACGTCAGCTGCCCCCTCCCTAGTGGCACACTGCACCCCAACCTTGTCCGTTCTGCCCCCACGGCCCTGAGTCCAGGCTTTGGCACTCACCCGGTTCTTGTGGGCATTGACTGAGGCATAGCGAACGGTCCCTCGAAACCCGGCCACATTCCGAGGCTACAGAGGAGAGACCACCACCAAGAACCTCACCCACTACCCCCTGACCTCAGCCACATCGCCACCCACTACCCAGCCCAACTCTGCCTGCCCTAACCCTGGCCAGCTGCCCTGGTTGGGAGTGAGCCTGACACACCACCCCTGGCATCTGCTTTCTGACACCCTGGTCCTAACCTGCCTCCTGATGCTGCTCCATGCCCAGAGTGGACAGAGAGATCACAAGGTGTGACAAGTGGCATCCACCAAGGGCCCAGGCTAAGGGAGAAGGGGGACAGGCCAAGCATGGACTCCAGAGTTGGGTGGCACTGATACTAAACACGAGGCCAGGCCAGCTTAAGTAGCTGCAAGGAAAGTTAGTGAAGGATCTCCAAATCAGGGAGTAGGGGAGTAAGTCCTCCACTGTCCTCCCGGCCCCAGGCAGGGAAGCCCAGGTATCCGGTGTGTGGCAGTACTCACAGGCCGAACGTCCCCCGTGGTGTTGGTGTACTGCCGGGCCAGCCCGAAGTCCAGCATGTAGCACTTTCTGTAGGTGGAGGGCAGCCTGCCCATGGCAAAGTTTGACTAGGAGGAGACAGCAGCGGTGAGCCCTGGGGTCTCCAACCCCACCTGGCCCACCTCAAGGGGCACCAGGGAACAGTTCTGCAGCAGGTGAAGGACCCTCAGCCCCACACACTCACACACAAGGAAACCATCACCAATCACATATTTGAGGCAGGTCATATCCTAGGGACAGGTGTGATTACCCTCATTTCAGAGATAAGGAAACTGAAGGTCAAAGAGCTCAGGGAGCTTCTCTGAGATTACAAAGCAAGTGATGACTCAGCCACGGTTTGAACCCGGGCCTGTCCGGTCTAACTCCTTGGGACTCCCAGCAGGACAGGGAGGCTTGGTGTAACGGGCCTGCTCTAAGGCAGCAGACCTCTACTTCTCTTGCTGTGTGACCTTGGGCCACTCAACCAACCTTTCTGGGCCTCAGTATTCATCCCTCTAAATGGGAGGTGTTTTTCTAGCACCAAGATCCAAGATGCCACAAAATCAGCTACTTGGAATTCCTTAACAAGCCCCAGCCCCTATATCCCCTTGTCTCAATCCCTCCATCCCTCCCCAGCCCCTGCACCTTCCTAGGTTCAAGGACTCTTCTGTCAGGGCAAAGGATGAGGAAGAGGAGAGAACAGAGGAGAGGGCAGGGTGTTTGTCCTGGGAGGCGGAGAGAGGGACACGGGGCTGGGTGCAGAGCAGGAGGGGCTCAGGTAGGAGAGGCTGTCTTGTCCCAACTGCTGCTGTGGAGAAGAAACGGAGACCCAGGGAGACAGGGGAGGAAGCAATGCTCTCTGGAGGAGGGGAGAGTGGGGTGGGGCGGGGAGGGCAGCGCTCACCGGCTTGATGTCGCGGTGTAGGAAGCCCACAGAGTGGATGGCCTCGATGGACTCCAGGATCTGCTTGCCCAGCCGCAGCGTGGTGCTCAGAGTGAAGGTGCCTCGCGGCTGGCTGCGGCGCAGGTCAGCCAGGTTGCGGCCCTGGGGTGGGGCGTGGGGTCGCAGAGACCTGCCTCAGCTGCCCTCCCAACCACCACCACTGTGACAGTCTGGCCAGCCTCACCCCCAAAGGGCTGTGCCCACTCCCCACACCCAGGGCCGAGTCTCCCTCCCCTGCCCCCCACCATGGAGTCACAGCCCCATCTCCTGGTGAAGGGAGAGAGGATGGGGCCTGCCCTGGGCTCACCTGGAGCTGCATCACTACGTAGTTAAACTTCTCATTCCTGCCACAGCCGATGAACCTGCACACGTGGTCCTTCCCTGGAGGGCAGAGACATGGGTCTCCAAGTCCTTCTTACTCTTTCTTACTCACTTCTGGTCCTAAGGTGGGCCCCTGGTGCACCCTTGGTTCCTGGTTCCCCCAGAGCTGGCCCCATGAGTGCCTCTCCCATCACTTCCCTGCTCTTAGCCTCATCATCTGTCCCAGACTCTGGCTCCACTACCTCCCCTACGCCAGGGACCCATCTGTAACAACCCAGCTTCTTGCCCCAACACTCTCTTAGACTGTGGCTCCATCACCTCTTCCCTCCACCATACTATTAATACATCTCCTCCTCCTGCCCATCTCCTGCTCCCACCCCCTCTCTCAGCCCTGGGCTCCCTCTTCTCTTCCCTCCCATCCCCCTGCCCTAGGCCCGCACCTTGCAGCTTTTTGAGCACAGCCACCTCCATCTTGAGGACCTGCTTGGGCTGCTGGGCTGACTCCACCTTGAGGGCCACGTTCTCCCTGGTCAGCAGGTCCATGGCCTCATAGATCTCACCAAAGCCCCCGCCTCCGATCTTTTTCAGCTATGGAGATGGGGGATAGGGGATGCTCAGATCGGGCTGAAGAGCTCCTCATCCTACCCCTGCTGGGTTGCATCCTTCATTGGTGGGGGCAGGGGGTATCCTTGAAAGGGAAGACTACATGTCTCCCTCGCCCCACCCAGGGGAGAGGAGTGCCCCTACCTCCTCTCCTAGTGCCTGAAGGCAGAAAGCTCAGGCCATGGGTATACAACTATACACACACACACACACACACACACACACAGGGCCAGATGTCAGAGTGGGTAGTAGGAAAGGGTAAGAGACCTGTGACTCCACACAGACATGGAGACAAGCCTACGTAGGATGCTGTCTTGGATCTTTTCTTCTCTAGAAGGTCAACAAATATCATCCTCCTCCATCCCCCACCTGGATGAGCAACACCCCCTCACACCAGAAGGAAAACCAACTCAAGACCTCCCAGCCTCAGGGTGGATCAATCCCCTAGGGAAGCCACCACTTCCTAGGGTTGGCAGTCTCCTGAAAGATGTCACCAGAGGGAGAGAGTATTTGGGGGAGGGGGCTTAGCAAGGGTGTTCACAGCCCATGTTCACTACCAAAGCTCACATCACTCCCTGAGTGCCGGGTCAGATACCCAAACCAGGGCGAGCCTCCTCTCCAGGCAGGGGCACTGCGGGGGCATGGTGGGAATAGGGCTTTGGAGAATACTGGACTGGCGATCTGACCCCTCAGCCCTCTTCCTCCTGCCTCCCAGAGCAGCAGTGACAATGGCAGAGAGGAGAGCTGAGATGGAGGCGAGCAAAGCCGAGTTCTAGGAAGGGATTAAAAATCACCCAGAACTCAGAGGTCCTGGCGTCTTGGAGGGTGAAGGCACTACTGGCAGAGATGGGGGAGCAGGGAGAAGGTGCTGAGTTCCAAGTGAGGCCTCATTTGGTCTCAGAAAGATGTACAGCTCGATTCTCTCCCCCTCAGGGGGCCCACCCTCATGGTGGCCTGACCTCTCTGAGCAGCTTGCTGGGCCCTCGCTGTTGGCTTGTGTCTCCCCAGCTGCAGCTGGGCTCTGATCACCTGTAAACTCCCAACTGTAGGCCTCCTGCATCTCCCAGCCTATTCCTTACCATCTGTCCAGCACTCGAATGCCTAATGATTGGTTAATATTGGTTGACACCGGGAATGGAGGGAGGAAGAGGATAGAGCCGAGCTGGAGGATTGGGAGTTCCCAATAGGTTACAACTGAAGTTACTCCCAGCAGAGAGAGGAGGATGAAGGGAAGATTTAGAAGAGAAGTGGAATGTTTAGGGGGCGGGGGGAAACTTCAAGGTCCTTGTGCCCAGGAAGGAGACAGGGAAAGAGGAAGGAGGAAGAACAGTGAAAAAACAGAAAAAGTCAGGCTCTAGAAGAATCTCAGAAGCAAAAAGGGACAGACTCAGATTCCAGGGAAACAACGGCATCTCTTCCTCTGGGGAACTTCAAACTCAGGGGAGATGCTAATATCTTCTAGATTCCTTAACGGTTTGCTTGTGTGAGTACAGAGGAAAGGGCACAGGGGACGGAACAACAACTGCATCTCAAATTCACAGATGTCATCTCAGTTAATCCCCAAAGGCTTCTGGCAACACAGGTGAAGAAGGTCACATGACTCCCCATTTTGTACAGAAGGAAAACTGAGGCACAAGGAGTGCAGTACCTTGCCTCATGTCTAACAGCCAGTAAATAGCAAAGCCAGGTTTCATTCAAACCCAGGCAATCAGAAGCAGAACCCACACTGACGCAGAATCCACGATGTTACAGGAACTATGGACCCCATCGGCATTAGAAGAGTGAGTGCTGGGATTCAAGCTCAGATCTGCCAGGCTCCAAAGTCCTTGCTGGAGATAAGTAAGGAAGGCTCTGGGCAGTCAAGACAGTTATGACACCTACTCCCCAATTTCCCAGGGTGCCCAAGGGCATTTCTCTACCACCTTTATTCCAAACAGAGCCTACTTCTCCTTCTTTAGTCCCCTTCTCCTTACTTACCCACTCCCTACCCATTACAGAACCTTCCTAGTGCAGGAGCTGGGCGTCTGCACCCTCTTAACCAACATCCCCTCTCCCTGTGCCCTACAGCTAGGGCTGACTTATCTATTTGGCACAGTGACTAGGCCTGATACTTTTAGGGATTCATGAAAATGTTTTAATTTCTATTAAAATCAGAAGGGAAAAAAATGGGCTTCTAGGTCAAAGAGAAAAATCTAATATATAATATTAATATATTCCTCTTTTTACCAATGTAGTCATAAAACACAATTTTTAGTACTTTTCTGGAGGAACGGCCCCCAGGAAAGTCACAGTGTGGCCCTGCCCACAGCCCAGCCCAGGAACATTCGCTCAAGCTACTTTTGCCAAACCCTATTCCTCCCTGCCTCCTAAATTGTTCCCAACCCTGCAGAAAGACCTTCCCTAAACTAGAGGAGAAATATGACACAATGGGACCAGAATTAGTCCTTGGGAGGAAGGAGTCCTGGTTTCTCAGCCCAGCTTTGGGTGCCCTGGGCCACTCTTCCTCCTCTGTAAAATGACAAAATGTGGGGCTACCTTTGGTCACAATGACTCCTTCAGCTCTATGATCCTGATTCTTGGATAGGCTAATTCTTGTCAGACAGACCTGGTCCCACCTACTAGTCATAGAAACTTGGCAAATTAGCTAATCTCTGTGCCTCAGTTTCTACACCTGTGAAATGGGGGTAATAACAGTTTCTACTCCACAGGTTGTTGAGATAATGCACACAAGGCATTTTGCACAGTGCTTGGTGACAGTAAATGCTAAGTTTTTATTATTGCTGTTGTTTGCTATTCTGATTCTGTGAAGCACTCCTCGAAAGAATAAAATGTTATTTTTAAATACTCCAGCTAGTACCACAAACCCCCATTTTCTCCTTGCCACAGCCCGTCTCTGAGCAGTCTGTCTTGGTTCCTGAGCTCTGCCTCCCATCTCAGTTCCATCCTCACTGGGAATAGCTGGTGGGAAGCTCGTGGCACCATCCTCTCCAGTTCTCCAAGGGCAGGGGTAGAAGGTGGGAGTAAGGAGCGGTCAGCAGGCCTGGCAAAGACTGCATACTCACCTCCCCCAACTCTCCCTCTCCATCTCTCCCCACTCATCTCCCACTGCCTCCCACAGAAAGCACAAGACAGTTCTAGCCCAAACTCAGCATGTGTGCAAACACTCTTTCTCACCTCTTCGGTACAAATGTCAGAAACTAAGCTCTTGTGCCAGGTGACCCAGGGGGTCTTGGAGGAACACTCCTCACTTTGCAAGACTCTCTTTCCTTCTATTACTGCCCTGGCCCCTCCTCCCCCAGTTTCTATCCCAATGCTCTCCCTCTCAAGAGGTCCCTCTCTTGGACATAAACGGACCCTGTCTCATCTCGTTCCCTAAGAGTCTCCCCCTCTTCACCCTCTCTGTGCCCTCCTCCCCTGCCTCCGAAATCCCACCTTTGGCGCTTTCCCTGGGCCTCTGGGGGACCTGCTCGGCCTGGGTGGCTGTTGCCACGGAGACCCTCCCCCTCCCTCCCTCAGGCCCCACCCTCCTCCCAAACCCCGCACCCCTGGTGAGCTGAGCCTCCGGACTACAGCACGCAGGAGCGCGCGCACGCGCGCACACACGCACACGGACTCCGGGTAAACCTGACCTCTGTCGGTCTCCCTCCCTCCCTCTCGGCTCCCCACTCCGGTTCAGACCCACAAGCCCACACACTGGTTCCCCCGACACTACTGCCCACATCATCCTGCCCCCGTAGTGATAAGACATCAGAGCGCTCTTAAGTGATGGAAGAAAGGGAAGCGAGACTAGGGCTGATTTACAGTAGGTCCCGTTCCCCAGACACTGTCATTACCCCGACCCTCACGTGCCCCCCTCCCATCAAGGCCCAAATCCCCAAGGAGGCTCGGACTACAACTCCCAGCAGGCCGAGCAGCCTGAAGTCCCGGGCCGGAGGAGGAGCAAGGCACGCCGGGAGATGGAGTCTCGGCGTGTTGCACCTGCCGCAGGAACCGGTGAGGGGAGGAGGGTGGATGGAGAAGATGGAGTGCGGATGCGGTGGGAGCAGCCTGCGGGGCCTCTTTCCCCCAACCCAGGCCTTTTCGTCCTCTGCGGACGCGGAGGGACACATGCTCATCCACTGTCCTTCTCCAAGGTCCAGCAGAGAAAGAGCCCCCTCCCCCACCACCTCCCTCCTCCCCACACCGGGCTCTGCAGCGCCTGCCCAGACATCCAACCAGGAGTTGTTCCAGACTGGGCCCGACCAACGTGACCTAGCGGGGAAAGGGGTGAGAGAGGGCAGGGTTGGAGGGAGAGCACTGGGCGAAAGCGACTGTCCACACATGTAGGCAAAAATAATGACCTGCAAGCACTATGCAAATGAGCTCAGAGGCACCTCCCTCTTAGGGTAGGGGCGCCGAGGGCACCTGTTTTAACAAATCTCCAGGTCTTCTCCTCCTTCTCCCCTCCTCCCTCTTCTCCCCCCAGGCCACTCACTCACCACCTTCCAGCGATCCTTGACCACGTAGTTGGCCGGCAGGATGTCGGCCTGCTCCCCTCCCCCACTCATGTTGGTTTCGTCCTTAAGGGCGGCCGCTAGGCACTGCATCCGCCAGCCGGAGGGAGGGGTGTCCGCAGGGCCTGCCCTGGGGGGGCCATCTACCTGGGGGAGTGGGGAGGGGCTGTGAGTTGGGGGCTGGCTGCCGACCCAGGACCACCTTGCAGGTATGGAAGAGGGAAGCTCCAGTCTACTGGCAGGCATTCTTCCTGGGCCCACTGGGATTACTGGGGGAAGCATTGTGTAAGGGCCGGTGGAGGTCAGTGAAGGGAGATACGAACTACAAACCCGAGATGTGAAAATCAGCAACAGGACACACATGTTGATGAATAAAAGAGAGGAAAATGATGTGTGAGCAGGCTGTGGGGAAAATGTTTGCCAAAGAGACATCTGCTAACTAATGTGGGGAACACTTGCTAACCCGGGGTGGGGAGGTGCGTACTAGACTGGGACCCCCACACTTGTGTAGGGGAGACCTGGGCCAAGAAAGACCCAGTCTGGGTGACTCAATCTGTGGTCCCCAGCATCCATACATAAACCTTCCCTCTGCCACAAAATGCCCGTGGAGCTGTGCATCAGTGACTTAGTGAAAAGGGAAGACATGCTGACCAAGGGGTGGCCCATGGGAGACCCATGCCAGAGTGACTGCTACTCAACCCTGGGAGATGTGATAATCAAGAAAATGAAGAAAACTAAGGGAGACACTGCAGCCCCTTGAGGATGGTGCTAAGTGAGGAGGGTGCAGCCACTGAGAGGCACACACCATTCTCAGTGGTGAGATGAACCCCCTGACATGGGGTTTGGGAAGTGACAATGTGAGCAATGGGGTGAACATAGGTGATGGACTCCAGACATGGATGTTGGAGGGACTGCAGTCCCTTTGGCCACTTCGGAGGGACAGAGGCAGGCTGAATTGGGGAGAGCAGGAAAGTGGGAGCAGCCTAGCAGAAGGCAGGAGGAGTGACAGGGAGCAGCAGGTCTGGGTGGGCATGGGGTGAAAGAGTCTCCCACCACACCTCTCTGTGTCTGCTCAGGAATCAACAAGGAGGAACACACCCCTTGCCACATTAGGATGGGTAGAGATTGGATATCAGGGAGAGTTTCCCAACTGTGAGGGCTGGGAAAGCCAGGCACATGCTACACAGGGAAATGTAAATGTGTGTGTGTGTGTCTATCAGTGCATGTGTCCTTTTGTGTGTGCATGTGCCTTTGTGTGTCTTTGTGTGTCTGTGTGTCTATTAATGTGTCCATGTGTGTTTTCCTGTGTTTACCTATGTGTCTGTGTGTGCTTGTGTCTGGCTGTGAATGCCTTTGTGTCTACATCTGCAAGTCTGTGTCTGAGTGTGCTTTTGTGTGTTTTTGTGTCTGTCTATATGTGATGTGTGTGTGTAGGCAAAGGGCCAGAAGAGATGACTTTCTGAGATCTCTGCCAACCTGGGCAGGGTTTGGAACCAGGATCTTTTCCTCTCCTCTTCCCCCTTACACTTTTTACATGCACACTGCCATGCCCTCACCATGACTCCAAAGGGTCACAGGTAGGAGAGAAAGAAGGAAGTTACTCCAGCTGGAGATTGGGGATGGGGGAAGCGGAAGAGCAGGAAAGTGACTAAAGATATCTATAGATAGGGTGGAGACGACATACACCTGTCTTTCCTTGGGATGGGATGATCTCCCAGAGCTGCTGTATCTAGACATCCTGACACAGGGGGCAGGATGGGACGCGAAGGTGTGGAAACAACCTTCGACAGGTCATGATGTGCCTTGGGGAACATGTGGAGAAGGGATCTTCATGAGGAGGGACACTGTCACTCTTTTTCTCTTTCTTCAAGTGACTCAGCTAAGCTGTTTTCTCCAGTCCACACAACTTCAGAGTATCAGACTCTTCCCCCCTTCTGCCAAAGTGGAATATGGAGCATCAGGAATTTGGAGGGCAGTGAAGGCAATGGCAGGAGATGAAGGGAGAGGTGGGGATGGAGGTTCTAGAATAAAGATGGATGAGAGAGATTGAGGACAAGACGGAAGCAGCAACTGAACTGGTGGGGAAGGGGCCTTAAGTGGTTGAACTGGGTGAAGCCTGGTGGGCCTCCCAGTCCTGGGATGGCGGATTCTGTCACATCAGAATTTTCGTCAGGTTGATGAAGGAAATCTGTGTCCTGCTCCCATTTTATAGATGGGCAAACTGAAAAGGAACAGGTGAAGTGGGAAAAGGGAGCGTAGAGGCAGGAAGATAAATGTGAGGGTTACCTGCCTCTCCCTCTCCACCATCCCACTGTCTGCTCAGAGGACCACATGCAGCGCAGACTGGGTTGGAAGACACAAACTCGAGGAACTTGGCTGCCCACCGCTGCCCCTGAAGGCCCTTTGTGCCTGTGGAGGCATGGGTGTGTGATGAGGAGAGGGCTGGTGGAGGGGTTTGTATGGATACCTGCCAGAGAGTGTGTGTGCGTGAGAGTGTGTGGGGCCGACGGTGTGTGTGAGAGCGCGAGAGAGGGAGGCACATCTCTAAATGGCTGGGAGCTCACCATGGTATGAGACTGTAAGTGTCGATGTGTAACTATGCAAGGTGTGAGCCACGTGTGTGTGAACGTGGGAGCCAGGTAAGGCAAGGTGAAGAAGACCAGTGAGGGGCCATGGGAACAGGTGAGAG